AGTTTCATCTTGTATAGCATGCTAATATTGAAAGCATAATTCAACCATACTGGGCTAGAATTAAAAGAGTTAAAAGTTAAGACACAGCTCAACTATTTGTATTCTTGCTTATTTCTGAAAGCAACATTTCTTGATAATATCTACTAGAATTGAATGGCTATAGATGTTGATGTAAAGGCGACAGTTTTTTCTTCTATTGCAGTCTGAATCTTGTGCTTGGGAAGTTTATTAGTTCTCATTTACTATGACAAGACCGTCTTGCCTCTCTCGTTTAGTCTTGACGCTTTTCATATACAGCTTTGATAGTCGTATACATATATAAATACAAGTCACACTTCTATAGCAGCCCCAATTGCCAAACAACGTTCACCCACTACACCCATGACTGAAATATAGGGTGAAAAGCAACAAGGAGCAAATACTGAGCCTGTATTTTATTTTTTCTCCCTCGTGTGCAGTTACAACTAAACAGTATTTCCTTTCTCTCATTCATATTGGGAGGCAACGGTAATTACGATGATTAGTCGGAGTCCTAGCACATTGAAACTCGAGAAATTTCTCTCCCTTTTGATCCATTAAATCCATTAATGCAGTAATTAAGCCCTTTTTGTCAGCGGAAAAGCCGACACCAGTCTTGTGAGATGGGCGACCACATCGCATTCACTAAAAACACGTTTACATGACTTGGTACAAAGGGCAGACGTTTGTCAAAAGTTCCCTGGTGAGCTTTTGTCACCTCTAGTGAATACTGTTCTTTGTAGCGGCTAGTGAAGATGGTAGTCAGAGGTTCTATAGCATATGTTTGTCGCTATTGATAACCATCTTTCATGTTGTTTAATATCCGGGATGACACTCCGAATTTGCACGTGTTTTGCTATAAATCTTTCGGTTACATTACACGAGAGAAATAATCGAACTTAATTTGTACAACGCAACATTTTAATAGCTAAGAACATTAACTTCAACTGAAACTGAAGTGTATACCAATTGGTATACACTTCAGTTTCAGTTGAAGTTAATGTTCTTAGCTATTAAAATGTTGCGTTGTACAAAATAAGTTCGATTGGTATACACTTCAGTTTCAGTTGAAGTTAATGTTCTTAGCTATTAAAATGTTGCGTTGTACAAATTAAGTTCGATTGGTATACACTTCAGTTTCAGTTGAAGTTAATGTTCTTAACTATTAAAATGTTGCGTTGTTCAAATTAAGTTTGACGTGTACCTTTTATGGACAACCACGAAGTTGATGGAGATTACTAATTTCAATCTACACAAACTTCAAGTAAGAAATTGAAAATAACTGTTCGACAACATTGATATTTGGATATTAAACAAAGATAAGTACGTGAATTAATGGGATAGTACATTTGTACATAAATCAAAATTAAAATAAACTCGTTATTTTGGAATAACTTACAGACATAATACGTAAAACAAACAGTTCTTGTGCAAACATTTTTAATTAAAATTAATAAAACGAGACATCAACGATTTTTTACTTGCACAATAATTTATTGGTAAAGTTTAAAAAATATAAGTTTTAAAAAACTATAAAACTCTACATGTTTCGGTGGAAATAATTCCACCATCTTCAGGTGAATAAACCACGAAGTACACATGAAGTTTCTTGTAAATCTAATGTACGTGTATAATTAGCATGTTAGTATAATTAGTGACGCCATTTACAACAATGATTTCCAAAAGTTTACTTCCGTGGCTCCTAGGACTAAATCTATATTTATATTCATTCTGTTTTTAACAATTTCTAAGGATTCTCTTAAATTAGTTCATATTTTTCCGTTACCTGTTTAAATATTTTTACATTTACTAATATGTTGGTTTCGTACCCTAGATAGCAGCATTATGAATTATTCAACAAGAGATCAGCCTTGACAGTAATTTCACTTACTGTGTAATGTACTTATTTTATATTTTGCCACTTCTAACTGTATGATGCTTAAGTGTGCGTTCTTGACTTGCAAACACTTGTATAAATAAATCATATGGCAAAGTTCTAATGATCGTAGAACAATAGGATGTTGTTATTATAAACGGAGATATACAAGTATGATACACTTGGTGCATGCAGTGTGAAACAATCAAATAAACATGTTTCTGATAAACACTTGGTGGACTACATGCAGTGTGAAACAATTAAATAAACATGTTTCTGATATACACTTGGCGGACTACATGCAGTGTGAAACAATTAAATAAACATGTTTCTGATAAACACTTGGTGGACTACATGCAGTGTGAAACAATTAAATAAACATGTTTCTGATATACACTTGGTGGACTACATGCAGTGTGAAACAATTAAATAAATAATGTTTCTGATATACACTTGGTGGACTACATGCAGTGTGAAACAATTAAATAAACATGTTTCTGATATACACTTGGTGGACTACATGCAGTGTGAAACAATTAAATAAACATGTTTCTGATATACACTTGGTGTACTACATGAAGTGTGAAGCAATTAAATAAACATGTTTCTGATATACACTTGGTGGACTACTTGCAATGTGAAACAATTACGTAAACATCTTTCTGGTATACACATGGTGGAGTGTATGCAGTGTGAAACAACTAAGTAAACATCTCTAATGAGTGCATGCAGTGTGACACAACTAAGTAATCATCTCCCTGATGTGCACTTGGTGGAGTGCATGCAGTGTGAAACAATTAAGTAGTCATCTCTCTAATGTGCACTTGGTGAAGTGTATGTAATGTGAAATAATAAAGCAAACATCTTTCTGATGTGCATGGGACTGGTGTAACGCCTGACTTTATCAGTGTTAGATGTTTGTGTTTCTTTTGTCTCAATAATTCTGTGCTTGAAATTTGAAGAGAAGACTACAGACAATGTATATGATTTGGGTCATAAATAAATATAAGACAATGAAATGAGTTGTGTATAACTTGTTTTAATTTCTTACCACATTAAATCATAAGGCCTGGTTCATTCTTCAGAGTTCACATAAATGCTGGTCTTAGACAGTGCTCACTAACCCTGTGACAGGCTAGAATTATAATCCGCATTAGTTCAACTTGCGTTTTTTTGTTGTTTTTTGTCCTGTTCTTGTAAAAGTGGTACAATATTTTTTCATGCGTTTGCAACTTCAAAATGTATAACGTCGGAAAACGTTGAGACATTTCAATATGTGCGATTGCTTGCTGGCCGAAAATGGCTAAAACTCTATACAAAATAAACTCCTACTGCGCAATCTTTGTACTTGGCTGCATCTGACATATAACATTTATTTGCGACAGAAGTATGAACTAGGCCTAACAGGGTGGTTCAAGTATAGTTGTGACGTTATTAATATTACCACATTTCACCCTTTCATAACTAGTACAGAATTTAAACCAAATAATAATAATGATTGTCACTCTATTAACTCACTCACTGCTGATAATGTGGAGTATGTTCAGTGGAATTGCAGCGCAAAACTTAGACTTTCTGAACCGCAGCCTTACACGTTAGTCATTAGGCCACGCAAGACTCTACATAACGGTAAACTTCGTGTTTCACTAAGTTCACTTTTCTTCAGCATAATAGTATGATTGTACATTATCTAACTTTTTAATTATAGTATAGTCTTGGGGATTTCGTTTTTGTTTGTTTTATAACAAATACTAAAATTAAAATAAACTTATGATAACAGTTGAGGAGTAGCAGTTGGTTATTAGTTGAATTCCTTTAACTAGTTCTTATGCCACGTACTTATGATCGTTTTTATAAATGTTTTATACCTCGTTGTTGTGTGAACACGAATAACAACATACAATGCGTTTGGGGATTAAAATAAACTTTTTAAACAGTTTAAAACATGCACAACTGTGACAGTTACTCGAGATCAATTTGCCATTCTTTCCGGTTTTAGCTTTTGTGGTAATGAATATCATTATAATTTTCATTAAAATATTCATCAGTGTGTTTAAATGTCTGACTTGAAGGTAAATAGATTCTGTTTATTTTATACAAATAATAACTATTGGTAGAAAACTATATAAACAGTAACTCTTGGAAAGAAACTATATAAACAATAACTCTTGGAAAGAAACTATATAAACAATAACTCTTGGAAAGAAACTATATAAACAATAACTCTTGGAAAGAAACTATATAAACAATAACTCTTGGAAAGAAATTATTTAAGCAATAATTGAATAGAGTTGTTTAAACAACTCTATTC